GTTAATACTCCCATGCAGCTACCCCAAGTAGAAAACATTGCTATGGTGCCAGGTCTTCACCTGAGGAAGATGACTCTAGGATGACTTCTCTCGGCAGAAATATGCTGACTGTTGACCTGCTGACCTCTGAGCCTCTTGCTCTCTGTTCTTTGTCAAGACTACCCAAGTGAGAAAATAACTTTCGGAAATCTACCGGCACATTGATCAAAACATCACACGCGCCTAAGGAATCGGATCTGGCCGCAGCAGACCAAGCTGAAACACGCTCCCATGCTGCCTGCAGACCGCGTATAGGATGGCAAAGACAAATAATCTGACGCTGCAGCTTAATAATACTGCTTGCTCCTCCAACTGCTTTCTCATTTGGGTTTTGTTTGGTTATTTTTTAACTTCAAGAAGGTCAGCTCTGGAGGCAACTGCTCCCTAATTTGAACCCTCTGCAAAAGCTGCCTGTACAAGACTCAGAGAATTGCAGAGCCCTAAAAAAGCATAACACTGATGCTGATCAGGTGCACATTCTGGTGTGACTGTCGCCTTTTGGTTTGTGTTGGCCGTATGGACAGTGAAATTGCATTCACAGAGAGCAGAGAGCCAGAACCTTCCCCAGCTGCAGCTCAAATTCATATCCTGAAATACAACAATGAAGAAGACAGGACAAATATATTTCCCCCTTAAAGCCTTCGACCATCTTGGTTATTTGTGGAATTTCTTGCCAAATTACCATGTGAAGTGCTTGCTCTCAGGCAGGCTCGCTCCCTGGCTCCTAGCAGTGCAGTCCAACATCTGACCATGCACTTGCCAAGCTGTCCAACAGTCTTTTGCACATCACTTCCATTGAATTACAGCTTTCAGCACACCTGGACCTCCAGATTTTCTCAAAAGACTATGACACAGAGCCAGAGGGTATTTTAGAAGTGAGTGGTTATGGTACCTAAGTTGTGGAGCACCCAAGGAAATGATGTGCTGGGTATGGTGGGTCCCTACAGAGGACCCAGGGAGAAGAAGGTCTAACCCAGCCAACATCCCAAGCAAGGAGAGAGCAGCTGCCGGGAGCTGGTTAGTTAGCTGGTAGAAAATACCAAATATTATGTCTCTCATTACGTGGCCTTTCTTCACGTGGTTTCAAAGCCCCACCTCTCATCTCACCGCCTTATCTCTTTGAGATAACCCATCCCTTTGGGTGGAGCTGTCAGTCCACACAAATACTGAGTCATTTAACAGAATATACCTCGTGGATAAGGAAAGCATGAACAGTCCTGCTCACACCTATACACTGTGCCCTAAACACCTGTAACCCTCGCACAGATGTACAGAGGGAAGATCTTTGCACCTCTTCTTCCCAGCGGCCCTTCTCGAGCACCTGTAACCCCGACATGTTCCATCCCAAAGCAACGCACCTGGAGTAAAGGTGCTTTTTAAAAATATTATGTTGAAAAATCACTTTTACATATTGCAGTACTTCTTTTGACCTTGTTTTTTATGGTATGGATTTCGATAAAGCAATTGTATCCCTTGATTTCTGAAACATGTACTTACACGTAAGAAGCTTAAAATCCAAATTTAGTAAGTGGATGTCTCAACATGTTTTACTAGATAGGCACCTAATGTTTATTCTAACATTTAAGGGAGGAAAAAAATCTGGTTACAGAGTCTAGACTCATGGACTGAGTCAGAAATTCAGAGCTTCAGGCATCCCAGAGCTGCCTGATGCACTAGGCAGAATGAATCTGTGCTACTAGAATATGGGGAAAGCTATGATGGATTATGCTGTACTCTGCAACATTTTAGCAGGAAGAAAACTGGTCTGAGTGATGCTTTGCTTTCAGTCTTTAACAAAGTGCTGGGAACTATTTGTGATTTTCATTTGGGGAAGGAAGGAAAAAACTCAACTGAAAAACAAAGTCTACTGCCAGTTAGACCAATGAATCAAGAATAAATTTCACCTAGCTGCTCTTTAAAGAAATCAGAACAATAATAATAGCAATTGCCTACAAAAGAATACCTTTTGGAGTGCAAAATAATGACTGAATAAATGGTGTAGACTGACAGCAAGCAATCAGAAATTAGACCAAAGAATTTTCTTATATAGCTCTGAAAATCGAGATGTGGCTAATGAAAAATGGACTCAACATTTAATTATGCAACCACAAACAATGCAATAATAAAAAAAATGAATGCCCAGAGTGCTATCGAGGGGGTGTTGTAAGCCACTCGCTTTGTGGGCTATTCAGGAAAACGCTTTAAGATTAGACTTAACATTTCATTTTAACTCTCTCTCCCATTTCTTAAAGACCCCACTATCATGTTTCTCACCCAGAGGGTTTGATTACGTCCCTGTGTAATTAGGGAAGCTGCAGAACTGCAGCCAGGGAAGTACAGGACACAAAGCACCTCAGGAAGGCTTGCTGCTCGGCTCTGCAGAAGCCCTGCTCGAGGAGGCTGGATGGAGCAGTTTTCTCCAAGCCCCACGGTGCCTAACCCTTGTGTTCACAGAAGGATGAAGAGTTGGAGTCTCCCTCCCTCTGTTCAGCCTACACAAACCCCAGGAAAACTTGCAGCCCTGTCCCTGGGTGACTGTATTTCGATGCCTACCTATGAAGCATTTAGTAGTTTTATTAAAACCAGTGAGAGTACAGTGAGGACTTGAAAAGACCCAGCGAGTTTTCTGTAAGTTGGAATCCTCTGCAGATAAAAGGCTGAGTAACCCGTGGGTGATTTACCCTCGACAGACATGGCATCTACGTGCTGTTTGTTAAGCAGTAAGAAAGCTTTCCGATGCGTCACTAGGAGAGGAGCGTGTTTTGCTGGAGTAATAAAGTTGCTTTGACACATGTAACTGATGAAGTTGTTGAGGAAGGCGAGCTGTTTTGACTCTAGATGTCTGGTAGTTCTTGGCGAGGTGGAGTCAAGGCAGCATTCTCCTTGTCAATTAAGTGTGACACGAAGGCAAGGGAAATTGCTCTGAACCAGGATAATACGGTATGGGAGCTGACAGTGGAATCAAAGGTACTCCAGGTACATAAAGGAGCTGACTGGGAGGGAACGAAGGGACCGTGAAGGAACAGCTCTGGAACTGCTCCCCCAGGCAACACGTTGACACCTTCCATTTGGTGCAGCTCGGCAGCCCGGCACAGCGGCTCTGCCATGGCCTTCGCCGTGCCCCACGGCACAACTCGGCTTCGCTTCGAGCCACCTTCTCCTGCATCTCCTCGCTCAGAGCAAAACCCTGCTCCACAGCAGGCTCGTTGAACTCACGCAAAGTCGTGTAAGTAATCCAGGAGTAAGTACTAGCAGGTAGGATGCCAAGCGAAGGCACTACTCGGGGGAACGCTTGGCAGAATCCGGCCTTTGCTGCAGCTGGGGAAAAACACTCTTTAGCCTCCATCTTGCATGAGAGACGTAGACATTATTGGCTATAAAAAGAGATTGGTGCCTTGGTTGCACTACAGGAGTGTGTGAAAGAGAATTCTGGGTTCAGCCATTTACACCTGTCAAGATTGCCAAAAAAGCCCTGCTGAGTTTCTCATTCCCTCCTCCCAGGTACAAATGACTGCAGACAGGGCAATGGAGTGGAGATGCAAACAAACGCTTGCAAATGAAGGGGAAACATTTTACATTTCAACAACCACGGAGAGAAAAAGCCAGGGCTGGCAGAGGAGTGAATGGATCTGCGTTTACACGTCACCTGAAGATTTCTCTGTTTGCTACAGCAGGTGTAAGGAAAGAGTGGGTATGTTAATATACCGACTTTTTTTGTCCATCCATTCAGGTCTGTTGTAATGAACCCTTAAAAATATATGCTCTTGTGATGAAGAAGGCCTAACGCTTCATTAAAATGGTGTTTTAATGACTGGGCTATTGAATGTACTTGAAAAGGGAAAGCTAACTGAATTATTCAATGCAAAAAGTAACAATACTTGACAACATTGCTGTAGTCACCATCACGACTCTATTATACAGATTAGTCACTATTGATAAAACATCTTCTGAACCTAATGAATGTAAGTGCCATAACGAGCCGTGTGCTTCTTCCTTTCTAATACAGGGAAAGCGTGGCACTTATGCTCAGAAGCCCCAAGACAACTGGCTTGTTACAAAACTTAAAAACTGGCAGAGAGAGAAAATCCGTAAAGATCTTGTGTCCCCAGGGACAGGGCTTCCCAAGCTATACTCCGAGAGCAGCAGATAGCCACGGCTTTACTTCAAGTCAATCTCCCACACGGCAGCTCTTAATGGTATTTGTAGCGTAAAAGTAAAAAAAAGTAAGAAATAGTAATTTTAGAGTACAGAAAAAAAAAATCCCACCTCCCTAAAGTCACCATTTGCTCATAAAGCGCCGCTCTTCCTAAACACCTACCAGAGAGCGAGTCACCGCAGCCAGCGGTAGCCAGAGAATGTGCGTTTCGGCACAGCTATTAGACATACGGCTTCGTGCAGCTTCTGCCTTTATTCCCACACGCACCCTAACTTTGCCAGCAGTTAAAACCAGCACCGAGTGCAGCGGTGGGGCACCGCCGAAGCCCGGGCTATCGCTCCAGCACCCTCGGTAGCCCGCCGCCTCTTCACCCCCCCCCCCCCCCGCCGCCTCTCCCGGTAACGAGCCGCCGTTCGACCACCGGGGAGGGCTGATGATGCTCGGCGGGCGATCGGCCCCGCTCCCTCCTTCGGGCCGGCGGAAGCCCAAGCGTGCGACCCCTCACCCGGCGGCAAAACTTTGCTGGGGAAGGGACGAGGCTCCCGCCGCGGCCGGGTCAGGGGGTCTGGCGGCCCCAGCGGCAACCGGAGCGGAGCCCAGCGCCGGTCCCCGGCACCGGGGCGGGCGGTGAAGGGACAAGGGGACCCGGACACCCCTACCCCCCCCCCCCTCCCCGGCGGCCGCAGGAGCCCCGGTTGCCGCAGCAACGCGCCGGCGGCTCTCCCCAAAACTTTGGTCGCTATAACGACCGCCCCGCGGCCGCAGCATCCCCCGCGGCCCCGGTCCCGGGCGGGCCGTGGCTCACCTATGGTGGAGACGACGGTGCCCACGAAGTAGAAGGCGCCGGGGAAGTCCCAGCGGGGCCGCAGGGCGTCGACGCGGATGCCCGCGGCCATGGCCGCCTCGTAGCTCCGCAGGAAGGCGCGCAGCTCCGGCAGGCTGATGTTGAAGATGCGGCTGAAGTTGTGGAGGGTCCGGTTCCAGCGGAGCTGCGCCGCCGCCTCCGACGGGCTCTCGAGGGCCGAGAAGACGGTGGCGCCGGCGCTGAGGTACGCCGCGATGAGGGCGGCCAGCAGCAGGAACCGCCCGTTGTCCTCGTTGAGGGGCGCCAGGCGCCGCCGGCGGCAGGAGCCCGCCGCCCCCCGCGGGGGCATCATCCGGG